AAGGAGGAGGAAGGGAGGAGAAGGAGAAGGACGGGATGAGGCGGAGGACGAGGAGGAGGAGGTGGAGGAGGAGGAGGAGGAGGAGGAGGAGGAGGGTGCACCCCCTGCATCTCTTTCTCTGGATCTTCAGGGGGCACGAATGCGCGACAAGAGCGGCCCGACAAGGCCCAAGGACTGGAGCTGGCTAGAACCTCAGCGCGCGCGAAGCGCGCGAAGTTCTAGTGTTCTTGTCTTTCGTTTTCCATTTTGTTTTCTTATTTCTCTCTCTATATATAGGTATGTAGAGAAGTAATCATCAATGAAATTCTACACCAGAACAAGCCCCAAACAGTGGATGGTTTGACAACTGTGTAAGATCCATCGTGAGATCGATAGTGATATCGATCGTGAAAGCGATAGTAAGGTCGATGGTGATCTTGATGGTGATGTCGACTCAGGGTGATATCGACTCAGGGAGCTGGACCGTGAGGTTGATCATGAGATCGATGGTGATCTCGATCGTGGAATCCCGGAATCCGCCCAGAGCCAACAACCAGGAATCTAGGAACCCAGAACTGGGAACCCGGGAACCCAGCCAGCTACCGAAATCGGCCCAGGATTTCTCCAAATATTTCAATTACACCATAAGAAACAAATGAGTGTGTGGTTTGAAAATTGAGTGAGATCCATCGTGAGATCGATCGTGATTTCGATAGTGAAATCGATCTTGAGGTCGATGGTGATACCCATGGTGACATCGATTGAGTGAGATGGATCGTGAGATCGATCATGCGATCGATGGTGAGCTCGATTGTGGGATCTCGACATCGGCTCAGAACCAACAACCGGGAACCCGGGAACCCGGCACCGGGAACCCGGGAAACCCAGCCAGCTACCGAAAGCGGCTCGGTATTTTCGCCAAATCTGTCAATATTTGTTAGGACTCCTTCAGTGCAAGCGCTGATTGGGGAATGTCCGCTAGGATCCCGTCAATGCAAGCACTGATTGGGGAATAGGTATGTGTATCTATGTATATATATGCTATAAAAATAAGTATACATACAAGCATGTGTGTGTATGTGTGTGTACAGGTAGATGCATTTCACAGACACATACCTCAGTATACGTATATACATATTATATACGTAGACGCACCGACATATCTATACATATATATATATATATATGTTTACATGTATGTCTGATACATCCATCTCCTTTAAGGTCCTGTAAGGTCCTTGAAGGTCCTTTAAGGACGCCTCCCCAGCAAAGCCAGCCGATGTGGCGGACCACCACGCGCGTCTGGGATTGTAGGAATGGGCTGCGCAAGACACCACGGAAATCCTCGGATCCGTCGAGAAGGTCGCGCAGCTTGAAGTACAGCACGGGAAACGTATGCCTGCGCCGCCAGCAAAGGTCCTTTAAGGACGCCTCCCCAGGCGGCGGCTCCTCGCCTCGCCGAGGAGGCTGCGGGGCCAGCGCGCAGGGTAGGCGAGGGCGAGGCTGGCAGCGACGGCCCGCGCTCGCGCTCGCGAGGCCCGCGCAGCAGCAGCGACGCCGGCGGCGGCGGCGAGGCCGCCGCGGGAGGCCTCCCTGGCGGTGAGCACCCAGGCAGGGGGGCCTGTCCTCACCGCGCTGCCTGCGCCTGGGGGGTTGAGGAGGAGCAGGAGGAGGAGGAGGAGGAGGAGGAGGAGGAGGAGGAGGAGGAGGAGGAGGAGGAGGAGGAGGAGAAGGAGGAGGAGGAGGGCGACGACGAGAAAGACGGCGACTGCGGCGACGACGAGGATAGTGGCGAAGCCAGAGAGGAAGGCGACGACGATGGTATGGGTTGCAGCACCTTGGGCTTGGAGATCGAGGCGAGCGGTGCCCCTGCTGCTGGTTCTCCTTGGCCTTCGTCTTTTCTAGTCCTTCCTCGTCTGGCATAATCTGCCTGGGTCAAGCGCTTCACTCATTCTGCTAGCCCATATTGCATTCTCGCTGTCACTTGCCCGTGTCCTCGCGAGGATCTGGAAATGGTTGGATTGTGTTATTTTCCCCAAATTGTCGTGCGAAGCTCGCGTTGGTGCAATCAGTCGCTTGGAAGATGGAGGTTCTTGGGAGCCTCTTGGGGCATCTGGCCTGCTCTGGCATAACGAATCTGGCTTGTTCTGGGGACTGATCTGGCATATGGTCCAGAGTATGGTCTCCAGGGTCGTAAGCGCCCGCGAAGACTTCTAGAAGTTGTCTCCTGAGGTGCCTCGTCGTCGTCGTCGCCGCCTTCGTGGTCGTGGTCGTGGCCGTGGTCGTGGTCTTGGTCGTCGTCGTCGTCGCCACCGCCGCCGTCGGCGTGGTCGTCATGGTCGTCGTGCCGTTCGTGGTGATTGTGGTCGTCGTCTTCATCTTCGTTGCTGTCGCGTCCATGGTCGTGTTTGTGATCGTCGTCATGGTCTTGGTCGTCGTCGCAATGGTCGTGGTCGTCGTCTTCGTCATCGTCGTCGTGGTCGCCGTTGTCCTGGTCGCGATAGTGGTCGTGCTCGCAGTCGTGATCATGGTCTTCATGGTGATGGTGATGGTCGTCTTCGTCGTCGTCGGCATCGATGGAGGAGGATAAAGGGCAGGATGAGGAGAAGCAGGGATGTGAATGTGGCGGGGGAAGAGGGTATCTTCTTTCTCTTTCAGTGTTTCTCCTACTCCTCTTCCTCCTCTCCGTTCCCCCACTTCATTTTCTTTCTTCTCCAAGCCCCTCCTCCCCCCTCCTTCCCTCTCCCTCCGACCAGTTGGCCCGAATTGCTGCCAATCGTGCCGCAGCTCGGGCAAGGCGCCACAGGCGCGTCGCTCCTTGGTCATGCCAGTTGGCCTTCCAGTTCTGACAGCTGTGTGTTGCCCCGGGAAGCCCACATCCTCGGTACAGGCCCTGAGGTTTTTCACACTAGCTGCACGAGCTGAGCACGCCTTCGCGACACAGCCATCGTCCGCCGCCGCCGCCCCCTCTTCTTCCTCCTCCTTCTCCTCCCTCCCTCTCTCCCTCCCTCCCTCCCTCCCTCCCTCCCTCCCCCCTCCTCTTCCTTCTCCTTCTGCGCAGGCCTCCCCCTCCGTTCTCCCCCTCCGCCCACCTGAAAACTATAGCAGGAGGGTGGACGACCACACACAGGGTCAAGGTGGAAACACCCAGATCGTGCCTTTTCGGTTGTCACATGTGCCCTGATGCTTTTCCCCACTACCTATCGTGTCCCCGCCTCCACGGTTTTATGTCTCTTGCTCGATTTCCTCTCCCTCTGGATCCTCTGATTCGTTTAGGGCTCGCGCTCCCGCATTTGTATACCACACAATTTGAGCGCGAGCATGCTCATGCTTACACTGTCCTGTGCTTTCACTTCTACAACAAAGTGCGGCACGCTGCTTCGCCTCCTCACACGCACTCTGCATACGTTAACTTACTGAAAGCAGCGCAGGCTGCAATCAGCATGTAGTTGTGACGACGTTCGGCGCTCAGCTACTTGCGCTCCTCCCTCCCGACGCTAGACGTCCAGGCTCTCCGCTCTGCCTGGCTCCTACATCCTCTTCTCCGCCCTCTGCCCTGCGCGGCGCCCTCCTCGGTGCGCCCCGCCGCCGGCAGCGCCCGCCCCCCTGGCGCGCTCCCCCTCCTGGCTCCCGAAGAGGCCCCGCGCCGCGCCGCGGCAACGCGGGCGGCGCGCGGCGGGCTGCTCCGCACGGCCGCGCGGAGCCCCGAGCCGCACTTTCCGCGCCTCTTTTTTTCGGGGACGCGAGCCTGCTGGAACTGAGCACTCGCTTCCCGCGCTGCGCGGGCCCATGCCAAGAGCCGCCCTGCCTGCCTCTGGTGTGCCCTCGGCCTCTTGGGCTTCGCTGGCTTTGCCGTGGAGGGCATTGACGCCCCCACGCCGAACACATCGATGGACGCCCTGGGGGTCCAGGGTTGGGTTTCTTGAGGAAGGTTCCTCGTGGTCGGGCCCCCACTGCAGAGGGGCTGCCCGCTGGGACGGTCAGGCGCTCGCCTCGCCTTTCGCCCCGCCTCGGGGGCGCGAGCCGCCCGAGGCCGCGCCGGGGGCAGCGAGAGCGCACGCTCCTCTCGGGGCCTCGGCGCGCTGTGCGGCGGGCGGCGGCGCGCTGAGCCGCTCCGCCGCAGTGCCGTGGGCCACGGCGAGCCGCGCGGCGCGCGCAGTCTCGGACGGAGGGGCCGACTGTTCAGGTGTCGCTGGAGGTGCCCCCTGGCCCAGGGCGCCCCCAGGATTTCTCCGAGGAGGCCCCCACGGCCTCCAGAGCACCCCCCACGAGGCCCAGGGGGCCCCAGGGGCCTCCAGGTGGAGCGAACAACAAGCTGGGGGCACCTTGGGCCAGGGGCACCTTTAGCGACCCCCGAACTGTGTGCAGGCGGTGTGCAAGCACGGACCGATTCTCGCTCGGCGTTCCCCGTCTCGTGCCGAGATCCGCTGGCTCGGGCCCCAGCGGCGCCAGGGCAAGCAGCTGGCGAGGGAGGGGGAGGGAACGAGGAGGATTCGGCTGCGCGCGAGAGTGGCCCTGCGGGCCCACGCCCCCCCCCCCTCCCCGGCATTGGCACGTACGCTTGAGTGTGGCCCTCCCCGCGGCCCCTGCAGCCCCGCTCCCGGGGTCACTCTTGCCAAGGGCTGCTCTTGGCGTGTTGCCGGCAGGATGGCGGCGGCGCTGGCGGCCACGGCGGCGGCGGCGGCGGCGGCGGTGTCGGCCACGCTGGCGGCCTCGACGGCCACGGGCGAGAACCGCTCCGCCGGCTGGGCCCCAGCGACGGCGCGCGGCCGAGAAGCTGCGAGGGCGGCAAGAGGGCCAGGGACATCGGGGGGGGGGGGGCGCGCGGGCAGTGCAGAAGGGGGCCGCCCTTCTTTTTTTCTTGCCCTCGCCGTATAGTTTTTTTAGTCGAGAGCCTTCCGCAGGTCTGGCGAGCTTGGCGACGTGCTCGATGTGTCTGCAGCGTCGGAGTGACGACGGCGCCGGCGACAGCGGCGGCGGCGGCGGCGGCGATGACGAGGCGGAGCACCCGGCGCCCCCAGGCCGAGGCGCAACGGGCCATCACCGCGCCGGCCTCGAAGACGATGGAGGTCACCACGCCCATCGTCTCTGGCATCTGGCAGGGGGTAACGGGAGAAGAGCGGGGAGACGGCGCTGGAAGAGGAAGGGGATACAGTAGAGGGAAACAATTACTGAACACTCCCCCTCCCCCCAACTCAGTGTTGGCACGCGCGGAAAACACTGCGGTCTAAGTGCATCTCATCAGACCCACCGCCAACTTTGAACATTGGGGGGAGGGGGGAGGCGTTGACAGATGAATTTGGCATGAGTGTTCGCTAATTTGTTCCGAGGCCTGTATGACAGGGTTGGGAGGCGAGCAGGCTGGCATTCGTGTTGAGCCTTCGTGCGCTCTGGCGTTTCGAAGCGGCATGCGCGAGAGGATTCGAGGCGTGGAAGACTCCGTTCTTGACGTGGAAGGTCGCCAACAGCCACTCGTGGCCATGCCCAGGTTTTCTATGCCAGCGCGGCGGAGTCACGGTGCTCTGCCCGTGCTGGCAGGCAGCGTTGATATTAACCGAGCTTGGAAACCGCTAGCTTACATCATACTCGGTGCTTCGGGTATACCATTGCAGTGTAGCAAACAACTGTTCACCATATTTGCTTATTTGGGGTAGCGCGACCAGAGGTGGGAAATTACGAGTGAAAGAGAAAGAGAGAGAGAGAGAGAGAGAAAGAGAGAGAGAGAGAGAGAGAGCGAGACCCAAGCGGCAAGAGCCTTGCTGTACCACCAAAGTTTCCATTGCAATCCTTGCCTGCCTTCTCCGACCAGGCCCTGAGTTGGCAGCGGCTATGGAGGCAACCTCGGGCATGAGTTTCGTGGCAGCTGATGCCAAGTAATTTCTGCCGGGTTGAGGTATCGAGCGGGACCGCGCTAAGATATCGGGCCTTCAGGGGCCCAAGGCTAGGTCGAGGCTCGCCCTGTAGGGCACCAGCGGAAGCACATATTTACCACAGTGGCGGGATCATCAAAGTCCAGCCTCGTTACGGCGGAGGCTGTCCAGGTGGGCAGGCAGGGTGATCGCCGCAGCGGATGGGGCCGATCGGGCCCAGCACATATACAGGGAGTGCAGCAAGAATGGCGGCACGACGGCAGCAGTCGCATATGAGCTGCACTGCAAGACTGCGGCGATCGAGCTCGTCTCTTGGCACGTCTCGCGCGAGAGGTCGGAGGCGGAGGTGGTGGCGAAGGTCTGCGGCGGCCGGCGTGACGGCAGTGCTTCGGCAGCGTGGGCTTTCTGGCTGAGAATCGGCGCGAGCCTGTTCCCTTCGATGGCATACCGGCCTCGGAAAAATAACGAACACTCATGCCACATTCATCGGTGAACGCCTTCCCCTCCCCCACATGTCGAAGTTGGCGGCGGGTCTGATGAGTCGCACTTCGACCGCAGTCTCCTCCGCGCGTGGCAACTTTGAATTTTGGGGAAAGGGGGAGGGTCCACTAATTGTTTCCCTCTACCGTATGTCTTCGGCGTGGTCAATGCCACTTTCTCGAGTGCTGAGCTGGCCGCGTGTGGCCGCTGTGCGCTCAGCTTGAGCATATCGAACAGCCACTCGCCGCCGAGGAGGTGCCAGATTTGATCGTCGCTGACGCCCAGAGGGCCCCGCGCCGAGTACGGCAGCGGCTCTCTGTGGCTAACGCACTCGCGGAACACACACCGTTGCACGACTGGGCTGCCGTGTCCCAGCTGCAAATATCCTTCTTGTCCTTCTCTCTCCCTTTCTCGGCCTCGGTACCCGTTCTCCCTTCTCTTTCTCCGTATCCCGCTCCGCGTCTCTCCTTCTCGGTTCTCGGTTCTCTCGTATTTATGCTCCTCCTCCTTCTTCCTTTCGTTACCGTTCTCTCTCACGCGGTTCGCTTCCCAGGTGCAGAAATCATCGCCGGGACGGGCCCACATTCCGGCAGTCGCGGACGCACACCAAAAGTGGTCCTCACTTCGGGCCCTAGCGGTGTGAGCCCAGGCGGCCTTGGCGGAGGAGGAGAGGCGAACGGCACGCATGCCGGGATGAGGACTGGGAGGAGGTGGGAGGACGCGGGCACGTGATGAGAACGTGGAGGGCACGACGGACAAGTCGAGGAGGAGCTCAGCCAAGAGGAAGGAAGGAGGAAAGGCACGCACGCACGACCATCCTGATCATACTATCCGAATGGCCAGGGTTTTTTCCCGCGAGGTCGGGGTCAAGAGCCGATTTTCAGTGTTTACGTCCTGTTTGCAGCTTTGTCTTCCTCCTTTGAGTCTGCCCCCATCGAAGCCACGCTCGCCGCGTATTGTTTTGCAATCGCACTTTGCCCCTCCCATTGTGCCGTGGAGCAAATGACGATACAACAACCGCCACAATCAAACGCCACACATACTGACACAACAATGTCAGCACAGCGAACGAAACGCTGGGACGCTGTAGCTCGATAGGGCTGGACAACGGGAAAGCACGTGTTATGTTCGGTGTTGGTTTTCGTCGCGGCTTCGGCGTGCACCTAGAGCCAGCAGGGCCGTACGGCGTTTTTTCTCCAACTCATATGCGGTTGCTGTCATCCTGTCGCCATTCTTGCTGCACTCCCTGTATCTGTGCTGGGCCCAATCGGCCCCATCCGCCGCGGCGATTACCCTGCCTGCCCACCTGGACGGCCTCCGCCGTAACGAGGCTGGACTTTGATGATCCCGCCACTGTGGTAAACATGTGTCTCCACGAGTGCGTTAGCCACAGAGAGCCGCTGCCGTACTCGGCGCGGGGCCCTCTGGGCGTCAGCGACTATCAAATCTGGCACCTCCTCGGCGGCGAGTGGCTGTTCGATATGCTCAAGCTGAGCGCACAGCGGCCACACGCGGCCAGCTCAGCACTCGAGAAAGTGGCATTGACCACGCCGAAGACATACGGTAGAGGGAAACAATTAGTGGACCCTCCCCCTTTCCCCCAAATTCAAAGTTGCCACGCGCGGAGGAGACTGCGGTCGAAGTGCGACTCATCAGACCCGCCGCCGACTTTGACATTTGGGGGGAGGGGAAGGCGTTGACCGATGAATATGGCATGAGTGTTCGCTAATTTTTCCGAGGCCGGTATGCCATCGAAGGGAACAGGCTCGCGCCGATTCTCAGCCAGAAAGCCCACGTTGCCGAAGCACTGCCGTCACGCCGGCCGCCGCAAACCTTCGCCACCACCTCCGCCTCCGACCTCTCGCGCGAGACGTGCCAAGAGACGAGCTCGATCGCCGCAGTCTTGCAGTGCAGCTCATATGCGACTGCTGCCGTCCTGCCGCCATTCTTGCTGCACTCCCTGTATGTGTGCTGGGCCCGATTGGCCCCATCCGCCGTGGCGATCACCCTGCCTGCCCACCTGGACGGCCTCCGCCGTAACGAGGCTGGACTTTGATGATCCCGCCACTGTGGTAAATATGTGCTTCCGCTGGTGCCCTACAGGGCGAGCCTCGACCTAGCCTTGGGCCCCTGAAGGCCCGATATCTTAGCGCGGTCCCATTTGATACCTCAACCTGGCAGAAATTACTTGGCATCAGCTGCCACGAAACTTCTGCCCGAGGCTGCCTCCATAGCCGCTGCCAACTCAGGGCCTGGTCGGAGAAGGCAGACAAGGATTGCAATGGAAACTGTGGTGGTACAGCAAGGCTCTTGCCGCTTGGGTCTCGCTCTCCCTCTCTCTCTTTCTCTTTCTCTTACACTCGTAGTTTCCCACCTCGAAGCTTCTGCCCGAGGCTGCCTCCATAGCCGCGGCGTTTTTCCTCCAGCCGGTGCTTGCGCTTAAGGGGTTCTCCCTCCCGGTGAGAAGTGTTTGGCTGGGTGCGGCGGGGGTATCCGCCTGCAGGAGGAGGAGGAGGAGGAGGAGGAGGAGGAGGAGGAGGAGGAGGAGGAGGAGGAGGAGGAGGAGGAGGAGGAGGAGGAGGGGCGCCTCGTGGGCGCCCCGGTGCACGGGCCTGGATTTCGCCCCTTCTGGGGCGCCCCGTGGGCGCCGCGTGCGCAGGGCGGGCGCGGCGGGCTTTCGTGAGCTGCCTGTCGGCGGCGAGCGAGGGGGGGGGAAGCGAGGAGGAGGGGGCCCTCCCAGAAGACGGCGGGACTTCGCAGAGGCCCTCCGGCCTTCCGAGAAGCTTTCTGTGCCTTCGGGGCTTCTGAGCTGCCTGTCGGCGGCGAGCGAGGGGGGGAAGCGAGAAGGAGAGGGCCCTCTCAGAAGGCGGCGGGACTTCGCAGGAGCCCTCCGGCCTTCCGAGAAGCTTTCTGTGCCGTCGGGGCGGGCTCAGCAAGCTTCTCAGAAGGCCGGGGGACTTCCGAGCCTTCTGAGAAGGCCCGCCCCTTCTCACTTCTCGCACTCGCTCGCTGCCGAGTTTGTGTATATGTTGTTTTGTGCTCGGATTCGCCACCCTCATACTCCTGGCACCGCGCCTTGTCTCGCTGGCGATGCAGAGCGGTGAGGTTAACATGCGGGGCAAACATATGACCGTGCACTCAAAAGGGGTGCCACCCGGGTGCGCATGCGACCACGCGCTCGAGGGCAGCGCCCTCGCAACACCAGCAGTGGTGCGGCTCAGCAGTTGGCTTTTGGTTGGTCGTGGCCACTCCAGGGGGGCCCTGATGACGTGACGTTCTCCACTGCCTCCTCCGAATCCTTCTCCATCTCTCGTTGCCCACCTCGCGTTCCTCCTCCGCGCTTCTCTCTTTTTTTTGGGGGGGGGGGCGGCGGCCTCGGAGTCCCGCAGGGCCTCCCGCCGCATGCCAAGGTGAACACCAGCTGCTGCGCTTTCTCTCCGTCCACGCATTGCGTTTCCCAGCTCCCCGCTGCTCTTCTCCTCTCCTCCTTCGTTCTTCTTCTGCTCCTCTGCTCGTCCTCGTCCTCCTCGTCGTGCTCGTCCTCTCCTTCTTCCCCTCTGTTCTCCTTCTCCTCCCTCCTCACATCCTCTTTTCCATCTCCTTCTCCTCGTTCTCTCCTTCCTCTCCTCCTATTCCTCCCCAACCTGTTCCTTCTCCTCCTTCGCCTTCTCCTCCTCCCCCTCCCCCTCCTCCACCTTCTTCTCCTCCTCCCCGCCTCCTCCCCTACCCTATCCTCCTCCCCCTCCCTCTCCTGCTGCTCCTCCTCCTCCTCCTCCTCCTCCTCCTCCGCCTTCCCCTCCTTCTCCTCCTCCTCCTCCTCCTCCTCCTCCTCCTCGTCCTCCTCTCCTCCCTCCTCCTGCTCCTCCTCCTGCTGCTCCTCCTCCTCCTCCTCTTCCTCTCTTTCTTTCTCCGTCCCTCTCTTCTTCCTTCCTCCCCCCTCCTCCTCCTCCTCCTCCTCCTCCTCCTCCTCCTCCTCCTCCTCTCCTCCTCCTCCTCCTCCTCCCCCGTCCTCCTCCTCCTCCTCCTCCTCCTCCTCCTCCCTCCTCCTCCTCCTCCTCCTCCTCCTCCTCCCTCCTCCTCCTCCCCCCCTCCTCCTCCCCCCCACTCCTCTTCTCCTTCGCCCTTTGTTGTCGTCGTCCTCCTGCTCCTCCTCACCTCGTCCCCCTCGCCCTCCTGCTCCCCCCTCCGCGTGCCCCATCCCATGGCGCTGCGTTCCCGGCGAGGAGGAGGCCGAGGCGGACGACGTGACCTCCCGCTTGCGCTTCATCGCGCCGCTGGCGCGCCCGCTTGTGGGAAAGAGGGCCGGGCCTGCAGGGACGACCGTGCTTTTTCCCTTGGGTCGGGACGCCCGACATGGGTACGGAAAGAACGGGTGCAAAGACCGACAGCAGTTCTTGTTCATTTTGAACAGGACTCGCTGTCCGCGCCGCCGCGGCCTGTGTTCGTACAGAAGGCCGCCTGCCCAACAGCGGCCGCTGTTTGTTTGGGACAACATTTGCTGTTGGGCATTGTGCCCATTCTTTCCGTGCCCATTTCGGGCGTCCAAATTGGGGGGGGGGGTGAAAGCCATCCTTCTCCTTTGCGGGGGGGGAAAAAGGGGGGGGCGGGAGGGGGAAAGACGTCCTTTTCTGGGGAGGGGGAGGCAGGGGAAAGGGGGGGGGGGGAAGATGTGTTTTTTCCTTGAGGGGTGGGAAGGTGGGGGGGGGGTATGGGGAAAGACGCCCTCTCCTTTTCGCCTCCATCCTTCCCGCCCTCTGCCTCCTGCCCCCCTTTCCCATGAGGCCCTGCTCCGTGCTCTCGTGCCCGCTCCTCCGCCCTCCTTCCGCAGCTCCACAGTTATACATTCACCCGCGGAGAAAAAAATCAACACAACATGAGCAGAGCTCCCTGCCCTCCCCTGACACTTCCCGCGCGTGCCCGCCTCTTTCGCATACTGCTTTCGCGCACGATTTCAGCACATGGTGTTTGACATGGCTTGTTTCGAGCGGGACGTTATCGGTTCTTCAGAGTTGTTGCTCCCGCTGCAGCGTTGGCCACGTTTCAGGATAGGTGCTTTGCTCCCGTGGTAGCTCGGGCCACATTTCTGGACCCGAACTGCCCCTCCTCTGATCCTCATGCTCCTCCTGCTCCTGCTCCTGCTCCTTCTCCTCCTCTGCCTCCTTCTCGTCCGCCTCCTGATCTTCCCGCCTCCCATGTACAGAAGGCCTCTTCCAGATTGCGCAGCAATCGCTAGGTCTGCCATTTGGACATAAAAATCCTCTAGGACATCCAGTCGGCGGATACATTATCCAACGGACTGGGATTGGATCGGTGGGAAGAGTTTGATGTCAGACGTGGCGCGAGCCCACCTAGTTTGATACGGCTACATGCAACACCACCCTGCGAGTGATAAGTTGGGTCGGGGTGGTTGGGGTTTTATTGTGAATGGTTCGCACTCGCAAACCTCTGGACAACCATGAGACAACCATGGGACAACCATCGGGGCAACCATCGGGAAACTCATCGGGTACAACGCGAGCAACCATCTGGACAACCATCGGGACAAACAGCTGGACAGCCAGTTGGAGAACAATCGGGACACCATCGGAACAAACATCAGGACAACCATCCGAACAATCGGGACAACCATCGGACAGCCATCGGGACAACCATCGGGACATCCATCGGGGAAAGCCATCGGCAATAACACTGGCACACCATCGGAACAAGCATCAGGACAACCATCGGAACCACCATCGGGACAACCATCGGGACAACCATCGAGAAATTCATCGGGGCAAACATCTGACAAACATGGAGAGAACCATCGCGACAACCATCGGGACAACCATTGGGACGACCGTTGGGACAAACACTGGGGCAACTATCTGGACAGCCATCGGCCGTCGGGACAAGCATCGGCACAACCCCAGGACAACCATCGGGACATTCATTAGGAAAACAATCGGGAGATCCATCTGGAGAACCATCGGGTCAACCACAGGGCAACCATCGGGACAACCGTCGGGACATCCTGGGCACAACCTTCGGGACACATTTCGGGACAACCATCGGGAGATCCATCGGGAGAACCATCGGTTCAACCACGGGACAACCATCGGGACTCCATCGGGACAACCCCAGGACAACCATCGGGACAACCAATTCGGGACAAACAGCTGGACAGCCAGTTGGAGAACAATCGGGACAACCATCGGGAGAACAATCGGGACAACCATCGTGAGAACAATCGGGACAACCATCGGGACAACCGTCGGGACAACCGTTGGGACATCCATCGGGACATCCATCGGGGCTAACATCGGGAGAGCAATCGGGACAACCATCAGGACAACCATCGGGAGAACCACTGGGAGAAGCATCGGGACAACCGTCGGGACAACCGTCGGGACACCCATCGGGACAACCGTCGGGACAACCCTGGGGGCAACCACGGCACATCCACAGGGCAAGCACGGGAGACTCCATCGGGACAGCCACGGGACAACCCGGCGCATGTCCTGGCGGACACGGGGCCCCGATTCCTTGTTGTGTGACTGTAGTGGGCTGGCTGGTGCATTACAGTCGGGGCCCTGAAGAAGGAACCCTTTTGGTTGGGGAGGGGCTCCGTGTTCCGTAATTGTTTCACAGCTTGCCTCAAGTTTTCCTTATGTTTTCGATAGGAGATCGAAGGTCAACTTCTGGAAAAAAGGCGCCTCGCTCCTTATTTACGGTTCCTTAGGTCAACGCCCCGACTGTATGACCTGCCCAGCTTTGCCGCTCCGCCCAGCCCGCACGCGCGTCGCGCACGACGCGAGCCGACCCCGGAGTCGACCTCCCGGTTGGGCGACGCCGTGCCACTTCGGTCTCGCCCCCAGACCTCAGATTATTTTTATGTCGGGCACGTCCCTCTACAGGATGAGCATTCAAAAATCGTCAACAATAGTCTGGGGCCGATGCTTTGCCTATGTTTGACTCTGTTGGAGCATGTTTCGGCTATTTCCCATTTTTCTGCCATGATCCGCCTGTAGGAGGACATGCCCGACCTGTTTCCTCCCTCCCCTTGACAATGCGCGCGCGCGTGCTCCCACCTCAGTCCTCTCCCGCACTTTCCGTGCCGCCGCGCATTTTCAAATGATCTTTTCTTTTCTTGATGCGCAATCTGTTCTTCAGTGATGGTGCTCCCGCTGCAGCGGTGGTGCTTCCGCTGCAGCGATGGTACTCATTTTAAGATCGGTGCCATGCCCCAGCGCGGGCCGCAGTTCTGTATTCGATGATGCTGGTTTGTCAACACGGTGATGGTGGTGCAGCGGCTTGAGATGGCGATGGTGATGCCAATGGCGACGACGATGACGACAACGACGATGCTAATGATGATATGATGATGGTTTCGGTGGTGGTAGTGATGGTGATGACGCTGG